TCAGTTTGGTACTATATGCCTCCACTAAAGACTATGGAAGTGCATTTGACGTATGCTTGCTTAATTCTAACAAAATAGGAAGTTTAGTGATTCATCAGAAAAGATAATTGTGGTTATTTTATTTAAAACAAAAGTATACTCATTTATTGCTATCAAATTAAATTAACTCCAGTGATTTCAAATGCCTGATTATATTTCAGCAAAGTTATATTAGCATAAGAACTGGAATAACAAATGAGTCATAGTAGGTAAGGTAGATTTGTACTGTATAGACTAACCAAAGAATGTATATGTATGTGCATGTGCATATTTATACACACACACACACCCCCCCCTGCACATGCATACATACATATCTATCTAACAGCCTTTCATAGGCTAGAGTGCATGTGTGCACACACAGAGAGCATCTGATGAAGTGAGTTCTAGCCCACAAAATCTTGTGCTATATCTCTACTTTCATTGGTCTATGGCATGCAAATATACCTGCCTTGTACGTAAGGTAATGTAAGAATCTTATGCGACTGACTGTATACTTCTTGCCTTGGTAGAACAAAGACAAAAACTGTCAATTATTTTGTTTCATAGGTTTGAGTAATTAAGTATAAATCTGGAATATCAGATGACAAAACCCAAGTACCAGAAGGCTATGTCAGAGCTACTCCCATAGCTTTCTTACTGTGCATTATGTACCCAGAAGTTTAGGCAGGAATCTTAAAAAAAAGCCAACAAAAAAGAACAAAAAGAGAGCCATCTGTCTTTTAAAAGAAGAACAGACGTAATTTATTTCTTTGCTTTCCATGTCTAGGTGTCTCAGTAAGTGTATCCACATTCAACCTGGTTGCCATATCTTTGGAAAGATACAGCGCCATTTGCAAACCTTTACAGTCTAGGGTCTGGCAGACAAAATCTCATGCTCTGAAGGTGATTGCTGCTACCTGGTGCGTCTCCTTTACCATCATGTCCCCATACCCAATATACAGCAAACTGGTTCCTTTTACAAAACCGAACAACAGTACAGCTAACATGTGTCGCCTGCTTTGGCCAAGCGATGTCATTCAGCAGTCCTGGTAAGATATAATCGACTCTTAAATATCTGATAATTGTCTGGTATCAAATAAAATGACACGGTTGCATCAAGCCTGTTGCAAATCAATTATTAACCATTAGAGAAAGTTTAGAATTCTGGTATGCTTGTTTAGAAAGTTCCATAGACTGCTAGTTCTTAAACTGCCTTTTTTCTCCTTTTAATACTGTCATTGCTTTTGCTTCACAAAGGTGATATATATAATATGCCAATAATTCTCAGACTACAGATGGTAAAACATCTGTTGCCTTTGTAGTGCTGCCCCCTACTAGTAGAGCTTAGTCCTCTACTTCTCCTTTTAAAGTGTTTTTGATCAAGTACTCTTGAAAAGCCATACATATCCACACCCCTGTGCCCCTTCTATGACTCATTCTTTGCCTGCGTAGAACGGATGTAGTTCCAGTTGTCAACAAATAAGATGACATGCACATTGGAGAGAGAATAAATGTACTTGAAAATGGAACCAAGCTAATAACCTGGAGAGATTAGAGCAGAAATGTAAGCAGGCAATGCGAGAAGAAATCAGTGCTATTGAACACAAAGCCATATGCCACGAGACTGTGAATAAATGGTAAAGATACAACATAGGAACATAAGAAGGTGCAACATTGCATTGAAAACTAGTTTATTTTTACCATGTTTCCTTAATATTTCCTTTTTCACATAACCAAGCACTTTGGCTATCACAGGAACAGTATAGGAGTGTTGTTAATAACTTTAGCAGAACCTGGGAACGAGCCAATAGCTGGTACCACCTAGTACTGGTGCATCCACAGAAACATTTATTGTATGTTAATATTTTCAGTACTTATTATGCCTGCTATAATAAGCATGCATGAAAAGGAAAGTTAAAGAGTTAAATCCTATTTCCAGTTACACCAGCATAAATATAGGGAAATTCCAGTGAGTGTGCACTAAAACTACTGACAGCAGAAAATGTTTAGGCTCAAAAATACATGATTGCTTTGTTAATAACATTTTTAAACAGAACGTCTCTCTGTTTTGATCTTTTAATAATATGGTTTGATGAATGTACTGCAAGGTGGATAGAAAACTGGCTGGACCATCCAGCTCACTGTCTAGCTGGCAGCCGGTATTAAGTGGAGTGCCCCCAGGGACAGTCCTGGGGCTGGTTTTGTTCAACATTTTCACTAATGGCCAGGAAGATAGGATGGAGTGTACCCCCATCAAGCTTGCATATGACATCAAGCTAGTGGTGAGTAGTAGATACATTGTAGAATAAGGCTAGAATTCAGAGAGATGTCAACAAACTGAACCAAAAGAAATCTCATGAGGTTCAACAAGGAGAAGTGTAAAGCTAAGACAGAACAATGCCATGAACACCCATAGAGGCTGGGAACTGACTGGCTAAGCAGCAGCTCTGCAGAAAAGAACTGGAGGTTACAGTGGACAATCAGCTGAATATGAGCCAAGTATGCCCTTGTTACAAAGAAGGCTAATGCTTGTTATGAAGCAGGCTAATGGCACACTGGGCTGCATTAGCAGGGGTGTTGCCAGCAGATCAAGGGAAGTGATTGTTCCCCTTTATTTAGCACTGGTAAGGCCACATCTGGAGTACTGTGTCCAGTTTTAGGCCTCCCCCGCTCCGATTCTATAGAAAGGATATAGACAAGCTGAAAAGTCCAGCAGAGGGCAATGAAAATGGTTAGGGGCTAGGGCACATGACTTCTGAGGAGGGGCTGAGGGAACTGGGTTTATTTAGGCTGGAGAAGAGAAAACAGAGGTGATTTAATAGCAACCTTCAACTACCAGCAGGGTGGTCTGAAAGAGGATGGAGCTAGGCTGTCCTTAGTGGTGGCAGATGCCAGAACAAGAAACAATGGTCTCCATTTGCAGCACGGGAAGTTGAGGTTAGATAGGAAGACAAACTTTCTCAGGAGGAGAGTAGTGAAGCACTGGAAACAGGTTACCCAGAGAGGTTGTGGAACTAAATCCTTCAAGGTTTTGAAGATCAGACTAGACAGCCCTGGCTGGGATGATATAGTTGGGGATGGTCCTGCTTTGAGCAGGGAGTTGAACTAAATGATCTCCTGAGGACCCTACGCTAATATAATAGAAACAAAGAAAATTAATGTCATAGAGAACAACATTTTAATAATACATTAATTGATTAAAATGTGTAATAAATATTGAGTTTCCTTCAAAGTGGATTTCCCACTATGTGAATGGTTCAGTACCAAAACAAAACAAAACAAAAATCCAGCCCCAGTATGTACCATTTTTCCTTTGGAATGGGCATGAAGCTGGAGGTGAAAAAAATACCCATCTCATTCCCTTGCTCTGGTTGGCATGTTCTGAGGATGGGCACCATCCTACCTCAGGAACATAGGAATGACCAGTATCAGCATCTCACTTATGTACTAGTAGGTGGTTTAAGTTTCCATATCATAAAAAAAAAAAACACCAAAGCCATTAAACTGCTTCCAATAGTCAAATATTGAACAGGCAGAGACTGAAGCATCTTCTAATCCCTTAATTGTTGCCTATTCCATCAGGGTAGAGATGCTTTGAGTTAGCAAAGCAGAGAAACCAGAACTGCTTTTGTTCTCACACTATTTCTTCTGTGGGGAAAAATGGGATTCCAGCCTCTAGCACTGCCAAAGCAGCCTACCGTGCATTTAACTAATGAGACACCTAAGTCATGAAACAAAACGCAAAACATGTAGCTGCTTTTCTGTGTTTTTCCTGATCCTCACTCTCAGAAGAACTCTTCTGTGGCTTCCACAGGTACACATTTCTGCTACTCATACTCTTTCTTATACCTGGGATTGTAATGATGATTGCATATGGCTTAATTTCCTTGGAACTATACCGAGGAATTAAATTTGATGTCAGCCAGCGCAAGTCTTCACGAGGTAACAGTACAAATGAATTATTTGTTTGTTTGTTTTTAAATAACAGATGTTAAGATGTGAACAGTAGAGCCAAGCACACAATTTATTCCATAAACAGCCATTTCTGCTGGTATAATGTCAATGAACAGATTACAAAATTTGTATTGGACGCATTCATTTATTAAAATTATTAACATTATCTGCAAAGAATTCAGCTGGGATATTAGATTTGTAATTCCACTGGGCTAATTACATAATGGAGTAGATAATGTGCCTGCTTGCACATTCAATGAGTTTTGCACTAGGGCTTTGGACATACATTTCTTTGTAGTGCTACAAAAGACCATAATGCTACAAACATTAAATGCTATGGAGGTATGCACGTGGACCCAGACAGCTCCCTGGCTGAAGCACTACAAATTTGCTTCAAAGGTATACTCTCCAGCTGGGGGACAACAGAGGGCTGCTCCTTTGCCCCCCATGACCCAACCACCCCTCCCAATTCCCCAACCCCTGTCAGTGAGCTGGATCAAACAGGTTGCCTTCACCCATTCCTGGAGCAGCAGCCACCAGGAGCAGCAGCTGTCACAGGCTGCTGCTGCCCACCCCTGCCACCCTAATTTTAGGGGGCAGCAACAACCTTGCTGCCACTGCAAGACAAACACAAAGCCAATGCTTTTGTGGCAGCAGGATCCCAGCATGGCTGTGACAGCTCATCACCATAGTTGGGCAACCTGTCAGGGAGCCAGGCACTCTCCTTCCCCCTTGGATATGGTGAGGGAGAGCAGAGAACTGTGGGACATTAGAGAAAGCATTCCTGTAGCCATAGATGACCCATAGGAGTTGACAGTGTGGGGGCACAACTCCATGCCACCGCAGTTGCTGCTGGATGCTGGCTCCAGCCCCACGCCCTGCTGCCAGCACAGAAATCGCACCACCCCACTGCTGCTGGGCCCTGGCTTCGGCCAGGCTGAAGCTGCAGCCCCAAGCCCAGCCACCAGCATGGAAATCTGGAGGGATATGTGCCCCCTGTCCCCCCGCCCCCCGCACGTTGTCTGTGCCGGTAGCAGTACATGGTAGATCCGCACATTACGTGTAATACCACACAGAAGTTCCTTCGTCAAAGAAGAACATTTTTGTGGCGGAACCACCATTTTTGTGGCACTACAGATGGCTTGCACGTGTAGTGCTTTAAAAATGAGTCCACAGCTGTTACGTGTGGCCAAGTAACATGACAGGAATTGTAACATTAACATATACGTGTAATTCAAAAGTTACTTCTGGCAAAGTTAACCACTCTCTCTCAATATTCTGTTTTCAACAGTACGTAGAATTAAGGCCTCTGAACGTTTCCGGAAAGGGTCCCCAAATGGCCATATAGCCGAGTGAATTACAATTTAATTTAGAACTGGAAGGCCTTTTTTCTTTTTCTTTTTTTACCACTAGTTGCTCAGCATCAATGCATGTCATTGTTCACTTCAGAATTTAGGCTGCATTCTTGGATTTATACTTTAGTGGTGTTCAGAAATGTTGTGTGACCTATTGTACATGCAGAAAGAAAAGCCAGCACTGGCAGTAACAAGTATGAAGATGGAGATGGGTGCTACGTTCAGAAGATGAAAAAGAAGAAGAAGATGTCACTGCAACAGCTCTCTAGCACCAGCAGCACCAAAGTAGACAGGGCAAGAAGCAACACTTCAACAGCCAATCTGATGGCTAAGAAGCTTGTCATCCGCATGCTGATGGTGATAGTGATGTTGTTTTTCCTTTGCTGGACTCCCATCTTCAGCGTAAATGCATGGCGTGCATTTGACACCGCTTCGGCGGACCAGCTTCTGTCAGGAGCTCCCATCTCCTTTATTCATTTGCTGTCCTACACTTCTGCCTGTGTGAACCCCATCATCTACTGCTTCATGAACAAGCGCTTCCGCATGGGTTTTCTAGCCACTTTCACCTGCTGTACTAATCAAAAGCCCCCTGCAATAAGAGGAGAGATGGTTGATGAAGAAGAGGGGAAGACCACAGGAGCTTCTCTCTCCAGGTGTTCTTACACACACATGAATGCCTCTGCTCCCCCATGAGCTGCCACAGAAGGAGCTACATTTGGCCAAATTCGGTTACTTCTCTTCTCATCTGGTCTTGGAAAGGTGATTAGAGTTTGACTCATAATGTGACCTAGTTCTGAAGACATCAGAAACACCTCAGTTAAGCAATCAAAACTGATAGGAAAGGCAGTGGGAATGTGAGAAATGGATGCTGCTGCTTGTCTGGGCTTTTTTAGCATGTCTTTTAAAAGCAGACTGGAAATACTGGGCTAATATTTGCTCTGAAGTTTCCTATACAAATAACTGTAACCAAGAGGGTTTCTTTGCATCATCAGTTTAGCTCACTCTTTTAAATGGAAAATTGAAAGTCCCAGATACCATTCAGAGTATTTCTTGAAATTTCCAAGATGCTAAAATGCTCCTTATTAATTGCATTATAAAATTGGTATTTTTACATGCTACCGTTAGATATCTATATCATGAAATCAAAATCTGTATGTTATTCTGATAGCAGTTTTTATTGTTATTTTTGCTGAGGTACACTTGTTTTTAAATTAATTGAACACCAAGGCAAAGATGGAAGCAATGGGAAAGGCTATAGATCCAAAGCACTGCTTAAAACAAACTTTAAGTAGATGAATTTTATTTTTTAAAATTAACAACTATGAATGTAAATGGAATATACTCTTCCTTCAAATAGAAATCTATGACAAATTTTAAAGTACATGTAATAGAATAGTTTTGCGTAACTGCAGTTTGAACAGAAAGTAAAAGGACGAAGGATTGACTTTCAAAGTTGGCCACAAACAGTGACAGACTTACCTCTCTCCCTCTGTGTATGCATGGGCAAAGCCCAAAACTAGACTGTTTTGAATATAAAAGCGTTATTACTAGCATACACACATGTTAGTGCACAGAGGTATTTGCATATAGAAGTCTGCACACAGGCACCAAAGACTGGGATGGAGTCCTCTCAAAAAATAAGGACTGCCATAGAAAATATATCTTGATTAAATAAGAAATATAGAAGTGTATCCAAAAATCTTTTATGCTGTGGCAAAGCTTAGGTGTGAAAGTAGTAGTAGTTAAATGGAGAAAAGTAGAAAGCAGCACATAAGCAAAGACTGGGCACAATGTAAGAAGTGTCTATGGTTTGCTTGTAACCTATGAAACGAGTCTCTCTCCAGATATACCTATTTGTGTATAAATTTGGTATAGAGTAGAAAGTTATGAACTGTGTATTTCATCTGTTTTGTTATGTAACAAATTCAATCTTTTCTTATTCAGCATATGGGTGAGTATCAACGTTCAGACAATGCATACAGTTCTCCAGAACTCGACAGTAGCAATTACGTAATTTACACTGAATTTTATCTTGTTTTGTGGAAGCTTCCTATTAAAGTCTTCTGTCTTCTAGTCTAGTCAGTACGATTTTTAAGAATGGTATGAGGTAGATATTAGACTTTGGAATTGAATGGAATATAGATGTGGATATTAAAAGAAAACGCTGTCAAGGTTTTTAATCTTAAAATCTGACTCACTTCAGACTGATTTTTAAATTGAAAATACATTTTGGATTCCAAGTACCCAACTCATCCGTGAGTTCTATGCTAGCCTCAGTACTCACTTATGACTTAAAGCTCTTTTGCCCAAATAACTGAGCTGCACATTTTTTTTAATCTAACTTGTCCACTGCCAGGACATTAAAAAAAAATTACAACTGCATATGTGGGATCTATAAAAACCATGTTCTGCCTGCCACAATAATGAACTAGCATTATTCCTGGAGTGCTCACATTGATCTGACACTTTGTCTTTACTTAGTCATAACTCCCATTGAATTAAATCCTGTAAGTTTTCCTTAATCAAGGATGCAGAAAAAGACACTGCACCTGGTCTAGCATGTAGGACATGGCATACTTTTCTGCTGTACAGCAAGTTGAAATTATTAAACAAAACCAGCAATGTTAATTTAAGCTTTATCTAGAACATTGGGATAAGAACAAATCTTCCTGACATGGAAAGACACAACCGGTAGGGAAAATTTTAATAATTTTCAAGTGGAACTATATTTCAGGCCCTCAGAGAAAAAAATAATCAGTTTCCTGTTAAAAACTAAAGTAAAATAAAAAAGCTTGACAGTCTTTTACTATAATATAAACAGGAGTCTGTACTCTTCAAAAGGTCAGGTCTGTTATACTGTGTAGTATATAAATCGTTAGTTAGGGAAAAAAAAACTTTTAATGTAATAGTTGTGAATATTACTGACTATATTCAGTTTAGAGATGTGATGTACTCTGGAATTCTATATCAAATAGAAGAAAATATTCCTATTAGGTGTAGGCTTTCTAATGCAATCAGTATGTACATACCTGCATGCACACCACTCAGCTTTATCAGATGATTCAGCACAAAGCTTAATTCATTAGCCACAGGGCCTACATAGCGCTATGTACAAGTTACTTAAAATGACATCTCATTTTGATCATCGGTCCCCTGTGGCCTGGAGCATTGGAAGACTGAACATAAAACAAAGGGACCCTTTATTTTTTGTGATGGACAATCAGTTGAAGGACAGGGGGGTCAGCACTGAGTGATATGAGAAGTGGGCAGATGGGAATAAAAGAATCAAGTTGAGCAGTGGGAGTGACAGGTGGGTAGCAATAAGGAATAAGAAACAAATAGAGAATGGAAATGAAAAATACAGATTTCCATCTCAGATGCTAGTTATGTACACTTTTTTATTTTAAAGCAGAACTTACCTTTTATGAAATGACAGTGCCACACTAACATTAATTAATGTGCCTAAATCTGGAAATGGAAAACCTTGAAATCATGTGCAATACTTGCCATTATGTTGACCTGTTTTTTAATTTGCTAGTTGAAAAATTCTGAAGGTTTTCCCCATTATGGACATTTTTTGTGCACTCTGCTGTGATCCTTTGCACTCCAAAGGTGAAACAGACATGGCATAAGGCTAAAAGTTCTCCATGGCAATGGAATTCTTCCCAAAACTTTGCAGTCAGATGCTGTTATTGAATTCTGGTAATGGAAATGTCATTTGTCATAGAGTAAAATAAGAACTGAATAAAATAACAATACAAAGGAACAAATTAATTCTTATTATTCTGACATCTTTATTGGGGGAGGGGACACGCCCTGAAATTCCATTACTACAATTAGTAGCAAGCACCTGTAGAAAAAAGCCTGCTCCAAATCCAGCAGAAAAACACTGCAAAATAGTGACTACATATAACAAATCCAAATGTCGTTTGAATTTTTTTATTCCCTCCCTCTGTTTCTTCTTTTCCCCCTCCCATATTTATTTTGCTTATTGCCTGAACATTATGCCTCCCTCCTCTGTTCTCTTCATCCCTTTCATCTTACCCTCACCTGCAGATCCTCATTTTTCCTCTGGAGTCTAATTTTGCAATCTTCTAAATTTTGAGGGCTCCTTTTCCTTTTCCCCACTATATCTTCTACCTCCCTTCTACTCATCACAGTGTTCCTTTCTCTCTTTCCCTTCCAGGTTTTTCTTTCCAAAAGCCCTTTTCACCTGTCTTGATCTCCCTTCTCCAATACAGTCCTGAACCACATTACCCTGAACTCGGTTAATCTTTCATAATCCCATCCACATATGCAATCTTCTTATAATTACCCCTGCAACAATTACTTATCATAATCATGCAAGATTAATTGAAACCTCATTTCTTTTATATTCAAATCCTACTGAATACATGTGTGTGCGCACGTGAACCTCTACCAAATCCTATCACATACAAATCCTGTACAAAAACACAAATCCACACAAAATCCTCTCTTAATCCTGAAAACACACTTCCCGCTGCATTTGTA